CCATCCATCCATCCATCCATCCATCCATCCATCCATCCATCTTATATGTTTAATTATCTAACCAAGCAACCACCGACCCACCTACCCACCTACCCAACCACTCATTTTTGTTTGAAGAATAGAGATAAACAATGATTCCCTCACCTACAATGTACCACAATTGGGCCTTTTTCCAAGGGGAGTGCCACTCGTAACTTATGTTGGAATATCAATATGGATGCTGTATGTTCTGGTACGCCCTGATCAGGCCAGGCAGTATATTGGTATTGAGTCAATTCTCTCTTGTCCATGCACTCGGGATCTGTCGACTGAAAATGTTAAAATAGACACAGAAAACCCATGAGAATCAACATGACCATGGAGAATACTACGAAACAAAACTATTGGTAGTGTCTTTTTACGATTTTGACTGTTGCGCCTCCTATGCACACCACGTACCCCGATCACCATGATATATACGACATAAATAGTCCTTACCCAGACAAGGAAAGTCCTAATGCTCCAGTCTGACATATGAATCTCATCTACAATAGATACTGCAAGATCACCGTACTCCTGATGGCCATGCTCCGGCCAGTACTTCTCACAGTCACTACGAAGCTAACAGGAAAAACAAGCAATAGTTTATGCCCACTATTTGACTGGCAAGTAATGTATAAGTGGGAGTTGTGCTGCTAACGTGCTGTTTCTCACGACTGCTTATTTCCGTGATGCGTGGGGTTCACATATGCGAGTTGAGTATATTTCTATGGTTTCTCTCCTTTGCCACGAGGATTTTTCTCCAGTTTGTCTGGTTTTCCGCCTTAATTCATCCGTAAAAAGCAACATGTGAGTTAGGTGTTGTGTTTTGCAGATGATAAATGTGTGAGCTATGACAGTAAATGATAGTAAATGGAATGCGTGTGGAGAGAACCTCGCGAAAGAGTGCCTAAAGCAAGGGGATGTTGGTTGTAAAATTGAAGTCTTTCAAAAAGTTTTGTAATAGAAGAAACTTTGTTACTTGTTTGCTAAAAGACTGCACCGGCCCTTTTTTTTCCCCCACTCCGATCCGAGTAGTTTAAAAAGGTAAAACCTGATTTTCATATTCTATAAATAAATCTCACCTTCAGTGTGTTTTCTATGTCCCCCAGCATGACAATAGTTGAACATTCTCTCTCCCAAACCATTCGCCAGAAATCATTGATTGTTTCTTTCAACGGACCTGTAAAATTAGAAATTGCATTGTCACAGTTTGTACTACCTAAATGATAAACAGTTTAGAGTCCTAAGTTTTTCAGGTGGAGAAAAAAAATTGGATCGAGTTTCTATTAAAGTGCATTGTTGGAATGTTTTAGGGAACGAAATAGACGCCATCTTGGAAAAGCCAGCCCGTACCGCTCAGAGCGAGTCACATGATTGGATTAAAAAAACAAAAGATTGGTCATTCAAACAATAGCACAAAACCTAACCTTACAAAAGCGGTACTGTACTTAGGGAGCAATGTAAATCCAGCTCTCCAGCGGTACTGGATTACTCTCTTGGAAATGTCCCCTTCAACAGCCCCACAATGCACCACAATGCCAACTCGACCCAGTATTTCCCTGAACCTCTTAACGCCTCGTAATGGTGTTGTAAGTGCCTGCGATCTCATTCCCATACATATTAGTAGTTCAAATATGACACAGATACTATTATTTTGAGTACATGATTCGTTGCAGTCAGTGGAAAATGATGCTCCGTAGGAACCCTGGAAATGTGTTGATCAAGTTGCATATTCTCATGATATTCGATATTTACCTTGAGTTGCAATGTATTTTCTTGGGCAGCCGTAACCCTTTAAAACAGGAAAAAAATATTTAATTAGACGGAGCAAATGGTTTTGGTGATTTTATGATTGATCTGGGGCATCCCGCACCGTTTGCAGCAAGTTTATGATTGGTTAAAAAAAACGATACATTAAATCGGTCTTCCAATTAAAACTAACCTAAAAAATTAAAAGAGAGAAGATGCTTAATTGAAAAGCAGATTCTGAAAGATTCACAAACGTTTGTGGGGAGGGAGCGTTGCGTGACGACCGACACTAAAAACGGATGCGAGGGAGACTACCTTACTGATGGATTTGGTGCGTTTATAGAGAGGTTGAAGCATAGCAGAAGATAAAAAGAAGAATGGAAGGAAGGGTGGGAGGGAGGAATAAAGAAACGAAATGATGGGAGGAAGGATACTCACATCAATGAGGCTTGCATTAATATAATCAGATCCTGGAGGTGAATCCTTACGAGATTTCAGTACCACCCGTGTATGGTCATCTAGAAAAACACGTTTATATTAGTTACATGATTAATTTTATACATCTTTGGTTATATTTAACTTTAAGGTTCTATCATAGGTTGTATACGGTATTTCGCAATCACATAATAATTAAGAAGGATTGTGTAGTGAAACTTTTATCAACACCTTTTTCACTTTTAAAGTAGACCCGCCGCCTCTAAGGGGAATAAAGCCAATATATTAACTCTGTGCACTATCATGTGATGATATTCATGTCAGAAAGGAGAAATAATTGATTCTAATCTGATTTACTTGAGAAAGAATTTAATTTTCCAGGTGAAATCCACACTATTGTTGTGCCTGCTGTCATGGCTGCCATCACGTGATGGTGCAAAGCCTCTACAAAGCTCACAACCCAACAAAATGAAGAAATAGAAAGCGCGCGTGCTGTGTGCAGTTATAAAGCACGCGAGGATTGGCAGAACAGGAGAGACGTGTTAGGAGAAGCACGACGCGGAATGCTTCTCGACACTACTCGAGTGTTCTGCCAATCCCCAAGCGCTTTATATCTCCACACAGCACAGCAAGCAAGTTTTTTATTTCTTTTATAAAATGCAAAGGGCGTTTGCGTGCTGTGTGCTATCATAAAGCACGCGCTCCCAACCAATCAGAATGCAAGATTTATAACAGTTATTTTATAATGTGAATTTTGATATGATGTAATAAGAAAGATAAAGACTTACATGGTAGAATATTGGGGAAGCGATTTTTATTCTTGTTGTAGGAAGTCTGACTTGCGTCGTATGTCGATCGTAGGGGTATGTGGTTGAGGCTCTGAAATCAATCGATTCACAATATTATTAGGTATTAATGTAATATTAATCTTTTAAAAACAATATTATACGACACGTAAGCATAGTGATATATCAGCACGTGACTGTTAGTTGCAAATTATTAAAAAGTGGCTTATTTAAAAAAGCGAATGTAGTTTGTATTCCACAGCCAGCCCTACCTCCCTACCTCACCCCCCTTTGTCTCTGCAGTCCCTGTCAGACTATCAACAAGTTAAGCAGACGATGGTTGTAAACTTGGGTTTCCAGTTTTTTTGTTTTTGTTTGTTTGTTTGTTTTTTGTTTTTGTTTTTTGTTTTCACGCCCAACACTGTAGAACTACATCATTCCAGTCTTTAGTAAACTTTGACACAGGTAGCCCGAGTAGGGGACATTGATTACCTTGAACTCTTCAATAAAAAGAGCGTCATCGTAGGCATGGTAACGGTCGCAGTGTCTTTTAAGGTCATCAACAGGGATAGGCCTGCGGGCACCGAAACTCTTTGGTATCATAGCAACTGCAAATAGACATAGTTTTTTTAATTCTTATACAATCATGTAGAGGGGTTTCTTTTACGGCCATGTTTGGGTTAAAAAWATATATAAGGTTTTTCTTCTCTGAGAAGAATATTATGTAAAACATCTTATAGAGGTTACCCTACTCCCGCGCGTTAGTTGACGCACGGGAGTAGGGGTAAGGCGAAATTTAAATTTAAACTGCATCCGGTAACCAAAAATAGCCCAACCGAGAATTTACATGGCAAGGCGCGATATTAAGAATGTTCCCTCTATTACTTATGTTCTCTTAGACTTACTCATTTCTTCTTGAGGCTGGCTGCTTTTCGCTTTTTTACCKGATTTTCTGAAAATCATCATTAATTTTCAATTCATTAAAATGCATTAAAAATCATATTGCATAAACAAATACACATAACCATAAATAGCCACTTACACAGGGAAACCCATGCTTGGAATATGCGCGCTTCATAATCCGATGATTTTTAATAATCTTTAATTTTGTTTCTAGAATAGACTCTGATGGAAGACACCCTAACTGGTCATGTCTCTGGGTCACGCAAGGCTACATTGATTCAAAATAGAGGGACTAGACCAAAATTGTTACACATCACTTCCGAATGACGGTATTTCTTGGTTTTTCTCTGGAAAAAAATGTCAGCCAACAAAAAATTAAGAAAGCAAAAGGTCAGTTTTATATTTTCAAGTATTATTATTTTAAAGATTTTATAAACTATTTTAGTTCCAAATATATTTTCTCAAAGCGTGCAGATTTCAAGTTTGGGATACCTGTGGCAATATTTTGAATCAAACCTTATTAGGATGAATACAATGATGCAGAGTGCAAACAGCACTATGGCGCTGATGATGAAAATCAGCCATGGTAGTTTGATGCGTTTATTCGATTTGGATGCTAAGAAATAAGATCAAAGATCAGTATAACTAGTGCGTAATCTTTTGGAAGGACATACCACGAAAATATATATTTCATATTGGTTCGGCTTTTTTAACAGATGCCATCCAACATGACAGCAATACTTAGACAGCAATACATAGATTCTGACTTAATGTTATTCCGTCAAACAATGTTTACAAAATAAATTGAGGATAGGTCCTAAAAACGAACAATTTAAAAAAAACGTTGGTATGATACACGATCATCGACAACATTTTTAATGCTATAGACAAACGTTTGCGAAATTGTAATGGCAGACCGGTGGGGTGGGGTTCCATATCATGTTGGGTAGAGCCCCCTCCCATCGAAAACATGTAGCCAATACGCCTGAAAAAGAAACTGCATACAAGCGTGGCCGACCTAAAAATGCTCTCCATACATTATACGGTCGATGCGTCATGCTTCCTTTACGTTATTCGAAATATTAATCTGAGGCCCTTTAATGACCTGTCTATTTTTATAGACAGTTTTTCGTGAACTCGTCTAAATACCAACGATTTTTATCGTAAATTGCCGCAACAGGCCAACTTCAGTGAATTCATTTTGATTATCGAATTAAATATGACTACTGTTTGTATTCATTACCATATCCTACGGAATCATGGCTGCTGACATGTTGTACGGTGATGACTTCACTCCTTTTACCAGGCTTAGAGTTGAACGCTTGCACCTGTCAATAGAAATAATAACCAGCTTTACAAAAAGATTGATGTGAAAATCTCCCTTTATTTTTTATTCCTATAAAATTGCTATTGAGTTTGAAAAAAATATTATTAGTCTAAAATAACTTACATTAAGTTTTTTTTCATTAAATTCCTAAATGTTATTCTTATTATTTCATTTTTATATGACAACGTTCTTGAGGTTTATCATTATTATTTTTCAATAATAATGATTAAGATATCTAATTAACTTTAAAGGGCGGTGCGTGCTAATGAGGTGTGGCACACCTCTTTGAATATTCCACACGCGAGGTGCTTTCTATAAATCAATCAGAGCTTACTGGAAAAAAAATCATAAAACTTGTTCTTATCTCACCGTTATTTTGTAGTCAGCGGTCTTGTCGGGTAAAACAAAGGTATGCTTAATAATCGTCTCTGACAGGCCGTCACTAACGGTGTCTTTCCATAACTCCACTCCTTTAACATCGGCAAAAAACAAGACGTATTTGCGGATGACTCCATTGCTATATTCAGGCTTTCGCCACGAGAGGACAAGAGTAGGACCGTCTTTCTTGTATACAGAGAGATCCAATGGTGCGCTGGGAGCTTTGGTTAAAAAAACGATGTTACAAGTAACGTTAGATATGAATTATGTAGCTTGATAACTTATTCATTAAAAATCTCGTACCCAGAGACTGCGTTCCTTTTAGCCTGCGGCGAAGAACGAGGGCTCTGTCATGATTCCATTTTTTGAGACCAGAATTTCTTGGACTTCCGGAATAAGTAAGAGCGCATGCATTAAAACAGTTTTCAAAAATAAAAAATATGTTCACGATTTCAAAATTGTATTTTGATCGTAAGTAAACACAGAACTCTGTTTTAAAAAATGATTTTTAATTAGGATATTTCACTTGCGAAAAATTGCGAAAAATACGCCAAAAATTAAACTTAAAGCTTAAAAGGGAATGACACGTGGTCTGGAATGGCAATACAATTACGCCTTTTATTTTTATTTAAAAGTAAGATTTTTTTTTAGTTTTAGACCATGTCATCTTATTGAGAATCAAATTCTTTATAAATTTATCCATACTATATATGGGCTTACCATCTTCTGGCATAATTTTGTCGACTGCCTCAGAAAATAGTCCCCAGCTTCCTTTAGACAGCTCTCGGACCGCGAATGTGTACATGTTGTACGGAGACAGTCCCGTGATCGTCGTAGTTCTTTTATAGACACCGCTAATCTGCAAAACATTAACGAAATGAACTTTTATCGACTACAACACATTGAAACAAACTTCATAAGGAAATCTAGGGCGTGCAGTGGTAACTACTGAGAGGTTGTCGCTAATATCTGGGTCTGATTCCTGTAGTCCGCATCTCGTATGAGTAGAGTTTCTTGGGTGTTTCCATTGATAGGATAGGTGTAATCTAAAAAGCCTAACAAGCTAAATCCGATTACAATTCGATATGTGTGACAGCCGTTCCCTGACTTATGCCAGCTCAGAGGTATTGTTTCAGGGTTTGATCTGTGAGTAAGCCATGCCCTGAATTAGATCAGCCTAGCTAGAGATTGTTTCAGGGTTCGATCAGTGAATTAGCCCTGACTTAGATCAGCCCAGAGGTTGTTTTAGGCTTCTATCTGTGAGTTAGCCTTGCCCTGGCTTAGATCAGCCCAGGGGTTGTTACAGGGCTTGATCTGTGAGTTAGCCATGCCCTGACTTTGATCAGCCCAGAGGATGTTTCAGGGCTTGATCTGTGAGTTAGCCATAACCAAACTTTGATCAGTCCAGAGGTTGTTTCAGGGTTTGATCTGTGAGTTAGCCTTGCCCTGGCTTAGATCAGCCCAGGGGTTGTTACAGGGCTTGATCTGTGAGTTAGCCATGACCTGGCTTAGATCAGCCCAGGGGTTGTTACAGGGCTTGATCTGTGAGTTAGCCATAACCAAACTTTGATCAGTCCAGAGGCTGCTTCAAAATGCGACAAAATTAATAATTCAAGATTGCGCCCATGACGTCACATGCGGAAGAACACTGGCTCTTACCTTAACAATCTTATGATTATCCTCTGCTGACACACCCGGTTGACCTCTTTGCGTCCATTTCACCATGTAGCTTGTTACGTCACTCAAAGGTGAATTCCACGTGATTCTTACCGATCTGGGATTGATGACCTCAACCTTTACGTCACGTGGCTGAGCTGGCACTAAGGGAAAATGACCGTGCGTCACTTTAAAAAGTGTGTCATCTTCACAAATATTGATATCATGATTTATGGTGCAGAATGAAAGGGAATGAATAGTACAACCACATTTAACTGGCTAAAACTTAATGAGAAAGGGAAAAGACAAGACAGAGCAAGATCAAGGAGAAGAAGAAATAATTTTGCATCCGTTATAAATGATTCATCATATTGGAATGGGTGTGAAAGGGACCAGAATCCGATCAAAACCATGGGCTGCAACAGTCCATGCTTTTAGAGAAGGAGAGAAGGAGAAGGAGATATGGAGAGAAGGAGAGAAGGAAAAGGAAGAGGAGGAGGAGAGGGAGAAGGAGA